AAAAGAATTGGAAGGAAGGAAGGAAAAGAGAAGGAAGACAAATTGGTGGGAGGGAGAAGAAAGAAAATTGGAGAGGGAGGGAAAGTCGGATAAGAGAAAGGAAAGTTGGAGACAGGAGGGAAGGATGGGAAAGAGAAGTGAAGGGAGGGAGGAAGGAAGGAAGGAGCAAGCTGCCTTTCATTCTGGCCCCCCACAATCAGAAGGAGACCCGTTTTGGGGGTTGCACCCCAGTTTCCTGGACCTGAACTCCCATGTTCTTCTCTGTAAATCTCTGCCAACTTGCTGGCCTCCCTCCCTTCCCTATCTCAGATACAGGATCCGTCGAGGGTGCCAAATGGAATCGTTCTGTGCTCATTTCTAAACCTTCCCCGCAAGTTCACGGAAAGGATGGCTCTTCGGTTTAATTTTTTATTGCCAAGCTAGCTCTCTCCTCTTTGCACACAGAGCAAAACCCTATTTTTAAACCCAGCCTTCACGCCGCTCCAAGTCCTGTCCAGCAACCAAGCATTCCTTAACTTTTAAGCTGGGTGTGCTTCAACTCCCAGAATTCCCCCAGCCATCACGGTGCTGGAAGGCCACCTCTCTCTCTCTCTCTCTTAAAAGTAGGCTGGCTGGGGGGATTCTGGGAGTTGAAGTCCACCCAGCTTAAAAGTTGCTCCCCTTGAGAAGCCCCGCTCCTAAGAGGAAGGAAGGTGACTTAGGTGATGCGGGAGAACATTTCCCATCATCCTCAGTTAAAAGGATAATGGAAACTGTCCTCTCAACCCCTATAGAAGACATCAATCCTGCACTTAAGACCTTCACCTTCACCTGCCCAGCACCAGCCCTATAAATTAATCAGGCCAATTTGATAAAAAATTGATCTTTAAAAGGACATCATCCTTCCAGCAGGCCGTTACTGTCTTTTGATGGTTACTTAAATTGCTTTTTAATGCCTGTCCTCATGCACATCAGCTATTTAGGAAAAGAAGCGTTCACCTTCATATTGGGTTTTATTTTTTTTCCCCACCCTCTTTTAAATCCTTCCCAAAAGGTCACCCATTTGCCCGCAAACATAGGCAGCCCCTCCTTCCCCGTCTTTAAAATTGGCACAGCTAGTACTCGACTTAACGACCGACACTCAGCCCCAAATTTCTTGTGGCCGGCTGGAAAAAAAACACAACAAACACCCGCGAAGTGAGTTTTGCCCCGTTTTACGATCTTTCTTGCCGCCGTTGTTAAGGGAATCGCCGTAGTCACCGTGGTTGTTAAGTGAAACCGGCTTCCCCATTTGCTGTCGAGCAGGTCGCAAAAAGGGGACGTGACCTGGGACACTGCCACCATCATAAATGTGAGTCAGTTGTCAAACGGTCAAATTTTGATCATGGGAGCGTGGGGACGCTGCAAAGATTGTAATTATGGGGGGGGGGGAACCCCCGCTGTAAGTCCCGTTTTGTAACTTCCAATGATCCCTAAATGAACTGTTGTAAGTTAAGGACTACCTTAAAACACTTGCTCTCTCATGCCCCTGTTGGAGTCTGATTCAGAGGGGGAGGTGGAACACCTGACAGGGAGTGGGGGTGTGGCTCAGGTGGCTGTGGAGGAAACTGGGGAAGGGCACAATCCGGCTGGGCATTCAGAGGAAGACCCAGGCCCACCCCTCTTCATCCTAGAGCACGCAGGGAGGAACGGAGAAGGGAGCAACATGGGTTACGGGGGAGAAAAAGGCCCTGATTCCCTTCATTAGCTGCAGCTAATGGGAAAACAGGATAAAGAGGGTGTTAGTGCACAGAACCTTGCTGGAAGCAAAGCGTGCATTATCTTTGTTTGTCGTGTCCTATCTGGGTCCTGGCGTCCTCGCAACTGTATGTGTTTCATTATCTTTTGTGTTCTGCAATTCCTTATCCTGCCCTGTCTTGTTAATTGCTGCAGCGTGGTTTGTGTTGGTTTTTATTTATAATTTATATGTACTTTGAGTTCGGACTAAATTTCTTCCCTTTAAAAACTGTTCTTGGGAGATTATTTTCTCCAGCCAACGATAACTGGACATTGTGGGTCAAGTTGGAGGAATTAAAGGGACTTTACCTACTTTTGTGACTTGGTTGCTTTTGTGCCACGTCCCTTTGGGTCATCACATGCTCTCTATTATATGTCTTGGGAAATGGCCCTTAACCCATCAATTCCACCCACCACACCGCTTCGTTTTTTGTTTTGTTTTTTGGCCCCATTCACACATGCAACCTTCGTAAACAAAGGAAAAAAGTGAGATTTCACTCGGGCACGGGTGGAAAAAGGAGCAAAGTTTCTTTTTTCCAAACTGGGTTTGGCCTCCCTTTTTCAAGGCTTCTTTATGGCTCCCTTTATGGCTTCTTTTAGCTAATGGTTGACTAGAGTTTGCAGCTGCTCAAAAAAAGCCAAATGCAGGAGGCTGCCTTAACAGAGAGATAAGAATCAAGATCACGTGAAGCGTTAATACCGCTTTATAATGCCTTGGTAATAATGCCACGCTTGGAATATCACATCCAGTTTCGGTCGCCACGATATGGAAAAAGAGATGTTGACACTCTAAGAAAAAGTCCAGAGAAGAACAACAAAGAGGATTAGAGGACCGGAGGGTAAAACATACGAAGTTGCAAGAATCGGGGATGTCTAGTTTAATGAAAAGAAGGACGGGGGGGACACGATTTTGGTCTTCCAATATTTGAGGGGCTGCCCCAAAGAAGAGGGGGGTCAACCTATTTTCCAAAGCCCCTAAAGGCAGGACCAGAAGCAACGGATGGAAACTAATCAAGGAGAGAAGCAAGCTGGAATTAAGGAGAAATTTCCTAACAATTGAGAATAATTTACCAGTGGAACAGCTTGCCACCAGAAATTGCAAAACTGGAAAATCGAGCATACAAGGGCCCGTTTCCAGCTCTCTCAGTCCTTTCCCCCCACCCGCCCCCCTCCCCCAAAAAAACTACACTGGTTAGCAGGTGCCTTTTAGCGTTTGCCAAAGTGCCCACCCGAAGAGAGAGAGAGAGAGAGAGAGAGAGAGAGAGAGAGAGAGGCCCTGAAAGCCGATCCTGCTATTGTGACCCACATTTAGAAAGCCGGTTTCGAAGGCTGCCAGGTGGGGAGAGCCAAATTGCCAAGATGGAGAAAAATCAACTCCTGCCCAATCTTGTCACACACACACACACACACACACACACACACACACACACACACGGAAGAGAGAGGCCGCAGGATTTCTGAGGGCGCGTGCCAGCTGCTAGGACGGGCAACGTTAGGGGCATCCCTCCCCCCGCCAACCCAACCCAACCCAACCCAACCCATGACACTTTATACAACTGGAGTTTTTTCTTTCTTTCTAAAAATGGCCCTACTCTGATTCACATGGGCATGTGAGACCCTGCGCAAAGTTTTCCCCACCTGTTTGAGACCCCATACAAAGTTTTCCCTGCACGTTTGAGACCCCACGCAAAAGTTTTTCCCCACCCCGTTTGAGACCCGTGCAAAGTTTTTCTCACCTATTTGAGACCCCATACAGTTTTCCCTGCACGTTTGAGACCCGTGCAAAGTTTTTCCCACCTGTTTGAGACCCCCGCGCAAAAGTTTTTTCCATGCCACCCAAAAGGGCTGGGATGCCAGTGACCTCCCATGACCTTCCCTCTAAGCCACCTCTTCAGGAATGGGGAGATCCCTGCCCCACCTAGGGCGATCAGCTGTGGGAATTGGCGAGTGGGAGGGTTGCCTTATAAACCCGGTTTGGCAACCGGAGAAAGGCTCCGCAATGTGCCAGGACTGCGCCCCCCCCCCCCCAAATTCCCAGCTTCATTCAGCGGGGTTGCAAGCTGCCCCCTCCCATCAGGTCTGAGGTCACCGGGTTTCTGGGTCAGGGAAGGCGGGGGTGGGGGGGTGAGGTGACCACAACGGGGAAGATCTCCCTGGCTTAAAACAGGCCAAATTGCAAAGGCGAGGAAGGGGGTTTCCTGGTTCTCCTTTTGGGGAGCGATGCCAACCCCAGGAAGCCACCCTCAAGACTCCAAGTTGGGTTTGGGACATTGCTCCCTAATTGCTCCCTTGCAGCAGCTCCTCCGATCGCTGGCGGGGGTGTCCACCCCGCAGGTAGCCAGACATAGGTGCCTCCTTGCTGGCTCTGGGTGAAGAGGGCGCCCACTGGTCCCGCCTTATGGGGTGGTGGGGGTCGCTTAAAGGAGGAAGTTTAAGGGAGGGAAAGTTGGGATGGCACAGGGGCTGCCTTAGGATCTGGACTGTGTTCAAAGGGGGCTAGGATGAGGGGAGGGTCCGGAAGGCAGGAAGAAGCGATCGGGGCTTCACCTCGGGGGAAAATGGGCGGAGTTCACCGGACAGCCCTTCTTCCTCTGACTAGCCAGCCTTGAGTCACCCCCTTTGCTGGGCAAACCCTAGATTGATCCTCCCTCCCCCCTCTTTCTCTGTTCCTTCCTTCCTTCCTTCCCTCTCTTTCCCTGTTCCTCTCTTTTCCTTCCCTCTCTTTCCCTTTCCCTCCCTTCTCTCTTTTCCTCCCTTCCCTCTTTCTCTTTTCCTCCCTTCTCTCTTTTCCTCTCTTTTCTTTCTCTTTTCCTTCCTTCCCCCTTTTTTCCTTCCTTCCCTCTTTTCTTTCCTTCCCTCTCTTTCCCTTTCCCTCCCTCCCTCCCCTCCTTCTCTTTTCCTTTCTTCCCCCCTTGCCTTCCTTCTCTCTCTCTCTTTTCCTTCTATCCCTCTTTCTCTTTTCCTTTCTTCCCCCTTTGCCTTCCTTCTCTCTCTCTCTTTTCCTTCCATCCCTCTTTCTCTTTTCCTTTCTTCTCCCTCTTTGCCTTCCTTCTCTCTCTCTCTCTCTCTTCCTTTCTTCCGCGCCCACCTGGCAGTCGTAGAGGACGGTCAGCTGTTCCAGGATCCACTCCTCCAAGTGCAGCCGCTTCCGCAGCTCCTTGCGGTCGTATTTCACCGTCACCCGTCCCTGGCGCCGCACCGGGCCCTCGTCGTCGTCGGGGCCCGCTTCCCCTCCGGACCCCGCCGGGGGGCTCTGGAAGTAGACGCGGGGCCGATCCCCCGGCGGCGCGCCGCTCTCCGGGCTGCAGGGAGCCGCCATCCGCCAGCGGAGGAGCAGCAGCGGCGGCAGTAGCGGCGCAGCCCCCGAGACGGCCGGCCAGGCGCGCCTCTTTTGTTCCCGGCCGGAGTCCGCGCAGCACGTGGGGCGAGCGGGGATCGGGGGGGAAGCCCAGCCGGCTGGCGGAGCGGAGGGCGCGGCTCGGTCTCCCCGGCCGCTTCCCCACGTGCAAGGCGAACGGGAAGCCCCCCCGACTCCTTCCTTCCTTCCTTCCTTTTTTTCCTCCTCTCTTTCTCTCTCTCTCTCTCTCTTGGGAAGACGGATGGGCGGCGCTCCGGGTCTCGGCTGATCGCGATCCCGGTGCTCTTTGTCCCGATGCTGCCGCCGCCGCCGCCGCCGGTGTCTCTGGCTCCGTCTCCCTGCCTCTCCGCACCCCCACCCCCACCCGCCCCCTTAAAGGGCCCGCTCTCGCTTTCCCCTCCCAGCTTTGTCCCGTCGCGACGGCGGCCTCCCTTGCGCAGGAAATCGCGCCCCTCCCCGTCCCAGGGAAGGGAAGGGCG